CCCTTACTTTCCTTCTACAGTATCTCTTGGTTACCTCATGTTTTCCTTTCCTTTTTCACGATGGTGAGCCCAGCCACTTAGATTGACCGGGACAGCAACCGCCTTTTCCTAGTGGTTGGTGTTCGAGCCCCAGATTGTTCAAGAGGGTGGGCACGCATCCTTCACTTCCTCTTCATGTCCCGGGTATTAGTCTGTTCTCGTGCCCTTTCCAAGTGGTGTAGTCATAGGGTTTATCTCTGATAATTACCCGGCCTTCATTACGGCCAATCACCCGGGACGGGTTGTTGCGTGTTATTCTTTGACAGGAGCTTGAGAGTGAGACAAGTGTGTTGAGGCCAAGACACCGTCGAGGAGACAGTCCGGACAACAGTGAGGAGACACCTTGGAGACCGTCGAGGACATAGCAGGACTTAGCAGTGTGGCTAGAGTACTGTTTGGAGAACAGTGAGGAGACGACCTGGAGAACAGTGAGGAGACGACCTGGAGAACAGTGAGGAGACGACCTGGAGAACAGTAAGGAGACGACCTGGAGAACATCAACAAGACGACAGAGGAACAGGAAGAAAACGAAAAAGGAACAGAAGACGACCAAGAGAACAAGATGAAGACGACAGAGGAAGGGAATAAAGAGGAGCAGAAGAAGAAGAAGACGATGACTGAGGACCAACAGACTGGAGAATAGCAATAATGCAACATGCAGTTTGTCTCTTTTGTATGATTCAAACACGAAAGTTTTTCAGGTGTTACCTAAATATTAAACACCTGAAGGCTCCTGCCATGCCCATGCATGTCTCCCCCCCCCCTCCCCTTCTCACTTCCCTGGTGTTAAGAAAAGGGATCCAATTACGACTATTCAAGATATTGACACAATACCGTAAAAATATATTATCATCTTGAAATGTGATTAAAATATTGCACTATGAATAAGTTTTATTGTCCTATTTATTTATTTTAAATGATTTGATTTCTAAGACTATGATGAGAAACTCAGTAGGATCCGTGATAAGGATTCGAACCTATGTTCTGGGTACTCCCAAGCAAACGCCTTATGCGACTAGAGCACGACATAGTCGAAAGGGCTGCAACCTGGGATTCTACTGAATCCACGAGGACCTCTGAGGCTTCCACTGAATAGATTCGAATCCTCATCACGGCTTTTACTGTTTTTTTCCTTGATACATCACGTTAATGAGATTTCTCTGCATTATACATGATAATTACTTTATGTATTGTAGCAAAAATATCTAATAAATGTTGGGTGATTATTTTATTTTGCAAAACAAAAAACGTAGGACTGATAATCATTAATTATTTTATAAAAAACACATTCTTAAATTTATATCCCAGTCAAATGCTGCATTTAAATCCAGTTATTTGTCATCAGAAGAGAAAGATGGCAAATTTAGTTGATGTCACTTTGGTACTGATTCTCCTGTTTACTTCTTAACACGAAACAGTCAGCTCTTCGACGACTCTTGACCCAGAAGAATGATGCCTGTCGCTTTAGACAGCTGTCACCTGAGCCTACAGTTAGCGGCTCTCTGTCCTTAAGTTAACTCGTTAACAAGAATGAGAATGATGGGGTGAGTTGTTCACACATATATAACTTTTGACAACTCTTTGTTCTCTGTAGCATGTGTATGTTCTTGAAGATGTCACGTGAGTTACTTTGAGGTGCTTCCGGGGCTTGGCGTCCCCGCGGCCCGGTCGTTGACCAGGCCTCCAGTCCCGGGTCAGATTCAAGAGGCTGTGAGTCCCGGGTCATATTCCTCTCCTTGCCATCTCTGGTTTCCTCAATTCCTCTCTCATTTTCAACTCATTTCTAATAATATTTTCAACATTATACTTTTAAGGTGGAAATTATTATAACAATTTATGAAACTAAATTGCTTTATTAATTGCCTTTAAATGAAAAAGAAATCCATATTTGAATGGATCATTAAACTTCCATTTGATTAAATATCGACATATGTTGTTATGAAGACATTACCTCTTCATTAAGTGTGGACATAAGAGAGAATGGTGGCCAGTGAATGAATGGATGGTGGACATAAGGAAATCTTCACAACGATCACCTGCCATATGATTTAGTGCTCACTTTGGCCTACTTACAGACACTAAACTAGAACTTCTGCCCGAAACGCTGCGCGTACTAGTGGCTTTACAAGAATGTAATTACTATGCTATGTATCCTCACAATCCCAATGTACCTACTTGTATACATATAAATAAATAGAACACTGTCATACAGATCCAGTTGTGTGCAACCTGTCCTAAAAGATTCAATTTCAATTTATTTCTTTATTTTTCACCCCAATAGACCGTTGCATTTTGACGTATACTCAACCTAAGGCCAAAAATCGTCGTACTAGAAAATGGTAGCGGCTCGCGAAATTAACATACTATCCCGTTTTCTGTTTTGGGTCTTCTGGTCGGTTAGAATAAGAGCACTTTACTAGGACAGTTCCTTGACGTTAGTAAACCTTGGGAGTACGGGCTGTGGTGTGAGGGTCGCTACGCTCACCATCTTGAGACGTCCCAGTTATTTAATCAACATATTCCTAACAGCACTAAAGACACAGTCAGCCAAGTACTCACTCACCTAGTTGTGCTTGCGAGGGTTGTGCTTCGGCTCTTTGGTCCCGCCTCTCAACTATCAATCAGCTGGTGAGTATGTTGTTGGAAGGGAAAATCAGCATTTGCTGAAGCTCTGTAGCTAATTTATTATATTTGGCAACAAGTAATTGTGGATCCAGCCACAAGGGACAATTCCCCCTGGATTGGAAATATGCAAATGTCTCCTCTATTTAAAAAAAAAAAAGTTAGAAAGAGCTCGGCAGAACACAACCGTCCGGTCAGCTTGACCTCACATCTGTGCTCGGGGTTCAACCTTGACGCCAAGCGGACGTCTGGACACCACCTCCGCCTGGGAGCCGCCGGATCACGTCCTGTTTTCGCGTTTTGGCTTGGCGTTTCACCTTTCCTGGCTTCGCGATTCACCCTTCACGGGTACGCCGGTGCGCATCCGATCCCACGATCGTCGTCGCCCCTAACAACAACAACAATCACATCTGTGCTCGTGGACACAATCCCACGAGAAGGAATCATTCACCATCTCACTGTAAACAATCTAGTACAATTATCACAACATGAGTTTTGTTAAAAATCAACCCTGCCTTACAGACCTGTTCACATTGTTGGAAACTGTAACCAGCTATTCAAACGAAGAATTTTTAGTAGATATAATATGCAGTATGGACTTTGCTAAAGCTTTTGATAAGGTACCACATGGAAGACTGGCAAGAAAATTACAAGCACGTGGAATAAATGCTGGAATAGTAGAATGGATAAAACAAAGAAAGGCTCGTAATAAATGTAAAGGAATGTGAGTGGAGAGACGTGGTGAGTGGGGCACCACAAGCTGGCATTTTGGCGCCAATCATTTTTGTCCTTCACATCAGTGACAGATGAGAATATTATTTGCAGCTGTCACTAATATTTACATTAAAGTGGAAAATGAAAATGATATGTAACCTTACAAAAAGACCTACAAAAGCTCCACAACCAGTCGGAAGACTGGCAAATGGTGTTTAATATCGTACAATGCAAGACCTTGCATGTGCTGTATGTGGGAGCTGTTGTCCAGTCTCTTGTCTCTGTATAGGCCAAGGAACTTCCCTTCATTTTTATTGGTAATGTTAACATTGTCTATCTGAAGTTGAATCTGTTTTGATGATTTACTACCAATTATAATGTAGAAGGTCTTTTCTATGTTTTATGTAAGTTTGATGGTTGACATCCACGAGAGGACTTTTTTAAATTCGCTGTTGACAATGTTATTTAGTGTGTGGGGGTTGGGGTCAGAATAGACGAAGGTAGAATCGTCAACAAATAGTACAGGTTTAAGAATGTTAGAAACATTTGGCATGTCATTGGTGTGTATAAGAAATAGGAGAGGTCCTAAGATGCTGCCCTGTGGCACTTCTACTGTTAATGGTAGAATGGGGAAAGTTATGTTATTTATGACTTCATATTGGTGTCTGTCACTGAGATAGTCACGACTATAGTCCAGAGCAAGGCCTCGGATACCATAGTGGGGAATTTTAAATAAGAGGTAGTTATGGTTTACAGCATCAGAGGCCTTTCTCAGGTCAATGAAGAGGCCAATTGGGAACTCATTTTTGTCAAGGGCTGAGTAGATTATATTAAGCAGACTAATAATGGCATCATTGGTACTCTTTTGGGAACGGAAGTCAAACTGGCAGGGACTTAATATGTTGAGTTTTACAAAGTAGGAATAGAGCTGTTTGTATATATTTGTTTATCAAATATTTTTGAAAATACATTCTCGGGAGTAAGGCGAGGCTGGAGGAGGCAGCTGAAGCGATAAAAGGAGGAGCCAGTAGGGACGAGGGAAGAGGAAGAGCCAGTAGGGACGAGGGAAGAGGAAGAGCCAGTAGGGACGAGGGAAGAGGAAGAGCCAGTAGAGACGAGGGAAGAGGAAGAGCCAGTAGGGACGAGGGAAGAGGAAGAGCCAGTAGGGACGAGGGAAGAGGAAGAGCCAATAGAGACGAGGGAAGAGGAAGAGCCAGTAGGGACGAGGGAAGAGGACGAGCCAGTAGGGACGAGGGAAGAGGAAGAGCCAGTAGGGACGAGGGAAGAGGACGAGCCAGTAGGGACGAGGGAAGAGGAAGAACCAGTAGAGACAAGGGAAGAGGAAGAGCCAGTAGGGACGAGGGAAGAGGAAGAGCCAGTAGGGACGAGGGAAGAGGAAGAACCAGTAGGGACGAGGGAAGAGGAAGAGCCAGTAGAGACGAGGGAAGAGGAAGAACCAGTAGGGACGAGGGAAGAGGAAGAACCAGTAGGGACGAGGGAAGAGGAAGAGCCAGTAGAGACGAGGGAAGAGGAAGAACCAGTAGGGACGAGGGAAGAGGAAGAACCAGTAGGGACGAGGGAAGAGGAAGAGCCAGTAGAGACGAGGGAAGAGGAATAACCAGTAGGGACGAGGGAAGAGGAAGAACCAGTAGGGACGAGGGAAGAGGAAGAGCCAGTAGGGACGAGGGAAGAGGAAGAGCCAGTAGGGACGAGGGAAGAGGAAGAGCCAGTAGGGACGAGGGAAGAGGAAGAGCCAGTAGGGACGAGGGAAGAGGAAGAGCCAGTAGGGACGAGGGAAGAGGAAGAGCCAGTAGGGACGAGGGAAGAGGAAGAGCCAGTAGGGACGAGGGAAGAGGAAGAGCCAGTAGGGACTAGGGAAGAGGAAGAGCCAGTAGGGACGAGGGAAGAGGAAGAGCCAGTAGGGACGAGGGAAGAGGAAGAGCCAGTAGGGACGAGGGAAGAGGAAGAACCAGTAGGGACGAGGGTAGAGGAAGAGCCAGTAGTGACGAGGGAAGAGGAAGAGCCAGTAGGGACGAGGGAAGAGGAAGAGCCAGTAGGGACGAGGGAAGAGGAAGAGCCAGTAGGGACGAGGGAAGAGGAAGAACCAGTAGGGACGAGGGAAGAGGAAGAGCCAGTAGGGACGAGGGAAGAGGAAGAGCCAGTAGAGACGAGGGAAGAGGAAGAACCAGTAGGGACGAGGGAAGAGGAAGAACCAGTAGGGACGAGGGAAGAGGAAGAGCCAGTAGGGACGAGGGAAGAGGAAGAACCAGTAGAGACGAGGGAAGAGGAAGAACCAGTAGGGACGAGGGAAGAGGAAGAACCAGTAGGGACGAGGGAAGAGGAAGAGCCAGTAGAGACGAGGGAAGAGGAAGAACCAGTAGGGACGAGGGAAGAGGAAGAACCAGTAGGGACGAGGGAAGAGGAAGAGCCAGTAGGGACGAGGGAAGAGGAAGAGCCAGTAGGGACGAGGGAAGAGGAAGAGCCAGTAGGGACGAGGGAAGAGGAAGAGCCAGTAGGGACGAGGGAAGAGGAAGAGCCAGTAGGGACGAGGGAAGAGGAAGAGCCAGTAGGGACGAGGGAAGAGGAAGAGCCAGTAGGGACGAGGGAAGAGGAAGAGCCAGTAGGGACGAGGGAAGAGGAAGAACCAGTAGGGACGAGGGAAGAGGAAGAACCAGTAGGGACGAGGGAAGAGGAAGAACCAGTAGGGACGAGGGTAGAGGAAGAGCCAGTAGGGACGAGGGAAGAGGAAGAGCCAGTAGGGACGAGGAAAGAGCCAGTAGAGACGAGGGTAGAGGAAGAGCCAGTAGGGACGAGAAAAGAGGAAGAGCCAGTAGGGACGAGGGAAGAGGAAGAGCCAGTAGGGACGAGGGAAGAGGAAGAGCCAGTAGTGACGAGGGAAGAGGAGTGTGTAGAAGTAAAGGAAGAAGTGCAATAGAGGGAAGGAAGTAGGGTCTGGCAGAGGCGACGGAGCAGGAACACAAGCCAGTGTAGAGGCTAAAAGCACGAGGCAATAGAGGCGAGAGAGGAGAAGAAACCGCACAGTAGAGGTGAAGTAAGACTAGAAGGCTCCAGTATGGAGGCGAAGGGGGACGAGGAGGAGCAGCCAATAGACATAATAATAATAATAATAATAATTAGTAACGGTAACGTTTTCTCACAAACATAATAACAAAGGATAAAAACCTACGCACTTGTGTATTTGTGAAATTTATGTAAGGAATTTACACCAAGTCTTTTGCACTCTCCTGAGTGCTTTGTCAAGGTCTGAGTGTGTGGGTAGGACTTACATCTCAACGTCTAATCAGTTATTAGACGTTTAGACGCTTTTGATGCAGCAAACAATGAAATCATACTGGAACAGCTTGCTGAGCTAGGAATACAAGGAAAATTATTGAAATGGATAAAGGACTATTTGTCTAATCGAGCTGGTCCCAAACCTGCACACAGAAATAACATCACATGAGACCAGAAGACATGGCAGGATGTGCAGAATACCCCCGTTGAAAAGCGGAGGTGCAACAGGTACTCTGAGAGAGAACTCTATCAACATCAGAGGCCCGAGACTGTTCAACACGCTTCCGCTACACATAATAACTGGCCGACCCCTCATAGTGTTCAAGAGAAAACTGGATAAGCACCTCCAAAGGATACCTGATCAACCAGGCTGTGACTCATACGTCAGGCTGCGAGCAGCCGCGTCCAACAGCCTGGTTGATCAGTCCAGCAACCAGGAGGCCTGGTCGACGACCGGGCCGCGGGGACGCTAAGCCCCGGAAGCACCTCAAGGTAACCTCAAGGTAACCTCAAGGTAACCTCAAGGTAAGGTAGCATATGTTTTGTTTAATGGTGTTAAAAGCACAGAGAGCAAACACTTTGAACTGGGAACTCCACAAGGAGGGGTCCTCAGCCCCTTGTTGTTCAACGTTCTGATGCATAAACTTATTAAAGATCTTCTAACTAATAATGAAGACACGGTCATTTGTTATGCTGATGATATATGTTTACAGACTGCCACCGAACCTAGAATGCAAGTTCTGCTCGATGCTTTTGTTACAAGAGCTGAGGAATGTGGCCTCCTTATCTCTGTACAGAAAACTACGTGTGGTATTCCACCACCAAATTATCATATAGATGGGCGAGCACTTGAGAACTGCGAGTCTTACAGATACCTTGGTGTCCCAGGGAGAGCCGGTCGGCCGAGCGGACAGCACGCTGGACTTGTGATCCTGTGGTCCTGGGTTCGATCCCAGGCGCCGGCGAAAAACAACGGGCAGAGTTTCTTTCACCCTATGCCCCTGATACCTAGCAGTAAAATAGGTACCTGGGTGTTAGTCAGCTGTCACGGACTGCTTCCTGGGGGTGGAGGCCTGGTCAAGGACCGGGCCGCGGGGACACTAAAAAGCCCCGAAAGGAATCTCCCCATTAACGACCCTGGGTACCTTTCTTCTCAGACTCTGGGAGAGATTAAAGCCTTTGCGGGTCCATTGTTGGTGTCAATCATGGAATTAACGTGAGACTTGCAAGAGTGTTCTATGTAACATTTATACGCTCTGTGATTGACTACAATGCTCTATATCTCACACTGTATACAGACAATGAGCTAAAATCACTTGAAACCTTGTAAAATAAAACTATACGTCTCATCCTTGGGGCTCCAAAGTCCACGAGAATAGTTAATCTGAGAGCAGAGTTAAAATTATCTACCATAAGTGAGAGAATTTTGTCCATTAGCACAGTTTTTGGCGTTAAGGCATTGAGTAGATCTCGGCAACACATGAAATTTCAAGCTAAACTTTCTAATATGCTACACTCACCTGAGGTCCATAGAAGGAGAGGGAAATTTGATTATTTATTTTGGTTCTACAAGGTAGCCAACTCCATCAAAATATCAAATATGTACCCAACTCAATTAATGATTAATCAGCCACTTACTCCATGGGATAACTGGGATCTATCAGTTGATTTTGTAAATGGACCCAAGAAAGATAGTGTACACTCTACATTATTAAAACAGTTAACACTGAAAAGCGTCACTGAGAGTACTCAGGTTATGAGTAACGATGTGTATCAGTGTTATACTGAAGGTGTTTTGTACTGAGGCTGGTATTTGCTACCCTGACTTGCTAACTTCAAATTCAAATTGCTAAATTCTTGCTTGTAAAAATAAATAATAAAACTATAATAAACCTTTATAAATAATTATTTTTTTTTATTCCAACTCCAATGTTGGAAAAAAACACTACCCTTCTGTAGATGTATTATTAAACACGAAAGTACTTTATAAATAATAATAAAAAAAATAAAACTTGCTAAATTCAAATTCAAATTCAAATTCAAATGTTTATTCAGGTAAAGTACATACATACAAGGGGGTGATACAAATATTGATGAATTTATAGATAGAACTAGTACATACAATGCCTAAAGCCACTATTACGCAAAGCTTCGGGCAGGAAAAACACTAAAGACTAAAACTTAATACTAATTGAGATTAAAGTATAAAATGAGTTGAGAAAAATATAAAAAATAAAAAAGGGGGGAACATGGCAGAAAAACAGCAAAAATACAATTTGGTCGACAGACAACATTGATTCAAAATAACAGACATGAGTTGACATTATAGGTTGATATTAGATGAACTTATAGCTAGTTTTTTATCTACACTCTGTAATCTTTCATATAGAATAGGGTAGCAGCACATTGATGTATATACCTAAGTTTGTTAATAAAAAAAGATGATATATAAAGAATATCAACAAAAAGAGATTAGCACGTTATCCCATATGTACTGAAGGTCGGGTTGGTTCCACAGAAAACGGGCTAATTAGATAATATACTAAAGTAAAAATTATAAAAAAATTAAACTACCCCTTATCACAGGGTTTATGATCACGTAAACACCCCTTACAGGGGTACTTATCTTACTCTGCACTGACGTGCTATATTGGAACTTAAATGTGAATCTAATTTGTGCATGCCAGGGCTAACATTGAGGCTACTGGGATACTGGTCAATCAAGGCTGACTCAATCAAATTTTGCTCAACAAAACCCTTCCACTGAGCAGTTCATTTTGCCCCTCTCAAGTCAATAGAATGATCACATAAACTGGAATGTAAATACAATAAAGTAGGGGGTGCTGGGCCGTATGAATTGAGGAAGGGTGTTGTTTTGAATGTGAGTTTAGCAATTTACCCATTTGACCGATGTACCCAAATGCACAATCCTTTCAAGAGGATCGATTACACGCAGCCTATTCTTTTAGTTTTCAATGTCGCTTTTCTGCATACTTTGATCAGTGGTTTCGTGATCGATGTTGCATATTTATACATATACTGGGTCTTTCCTTCACATTCATTAATAATAATAATATTAATAATTATAATAATAATAATAATAATAATAATAATAATAATAATAATAATAATAATAATAATAATAATTTATTCATAAAAAGAAAAGAGAGAGGTCTACGGGCTCACCATAGCCCGTGCTACTTGAAACTTTTGTTCCAAGTAGCTGAATCTTAAACAACAAACAACAGAGAGAGGTATATTTGAAGGTAAAAATTTTTGTTGCCCAATGATACTTTTCCCAGAACAGCTATGTCCTTCTGAAAATGGGGTCTCCGTGCTTGGATACAGTAATCCAAATGGGTCCGCACCAGAGAGTTATACAATTGAATCACCACCTTCCTTTCCTTAAAGTCAAAAGTGGCTTGCGTACGAGTGTGTAGCTTCAGACACGAGCATGTTACAGTTATGTCTTAAAAAGTTGATCGCAAGAATCACTTACAATTAACGTATCAAGTTTGGAGACTTGTACACATTTCGGTGCAATAAGGCAAATAGTTCAGCGTGAACGGTGGAAGTTCAGTTGTTCATTCGGACTCTCCACTCATAATATAAACTATCATCCATTGTCAGGACAACTGCACTTCCCAGTGCACCCGTAGGGCGGTGTAGGGAACCATCATTATATATGGGTTAAGAGAGAGAGAATCCTCTGTGGACAGAGCATCAATGCCTGAAGCCTCACGGAAAGAGCCTCAAATGATCTTTAGTTTGCTTTTTGGGTGGAAAAGTAAGAATTAAAATTGGAAAATGGGTAATCTCCTACGGTGCAAGAAAGTGCCGCTCTTGCATGATAGTATGATGATAGATGGAATTACTGGTGTCGCTGGAATTACTATTTCACTTTGCCTCAGATCTACAAGATTTTGTTGAAGTTCTTGGTGTACTATTGCTCTCAGACCGCTTACTGACAATCCAAGGTTAAATTCAACGTCTCCTTTAAAGGCAGATTCTTTGGCTAACTTATCAGCTCTATCATGCATTCGGAGGCCAACATGAGATGGAGTCCACATGAAATGGACTCTGTTACCATCGTTGATAATTTTGTTGTATTTGTGTCTAGCTTTGGACACGAGCATGTTACAGTGGTGATTGCACTTGTGAAGATATATGTCTTAAGTACAGTACTAATATTGGAGAAGTGGGTAGTACAAGACACAGTGTGTGTTTGAAACACAAAGTAGGAAACTATGATGATGAAATTAGGTACTTTTTGGTTTTACTTTTGAATAAGGCAATTTTTGGACAATTTTTTTAATTCATTAGGGAGTGAGTTCTATAGACTGGGTCCTTTTATTTGCATGGAGTGTTTGCACAGATTTAGTCTGACTCTGGGGATATCAAAGATATATTTATTTCTGGTGTGATGCTCATGGGTTCTATTACACCTATCAAGGAAAAGTTTCAGATCAAGATTAGCATTTAGGAACATTTGTAATAGCACATGAGAATCGGTGGAGTAAGTGTATGTTGAGCATGTTAAGGGACTTTAACAGAGGGGGATGTGTGTGGTCTTAAGACATACTTTGTTATAGTTCTGATGAGTGAGTTCTGATTTTTGCTGAGTGGTGATGGGCTTGAGATAATTTGCAGTGGTTGAACCCCATGCACAGATCTCGTATGTAAGATAAGGATAGAGTAACGCGTAGTATAATGGGAGGAGAGCAGAGTGGGGAACATAATATCTGATTTTAGAGAGTATACCGATCGTTTTTGGGACTCTTTTTGTTATGTGTTGTATGTGGGCGTTTTCTTTTTAAAGTTCTTATTCGAGGAAAGAAGATCCAGTAAAGAGGCGAGGTAGGAGCCAATATAGTTTATTTATTTATTTATTTATGCATATACAAGAATGTACATAAGGAATGTGAGGATACAATTATGGTAATTACAGTCTTGTAAAGCCACTAGCACGCGCAGCGTTTCGGGCAGGTCCTTAATCTAAGAAAATTTTAAGGAGGTAAATACTTGCAAAATTTATAGACAAAAAAATGATAACAGATTACATGGAATGAAAAAAAAAAAAGATGAGAGAAAATTATAGGTACAGTATATTAAAGCACATAGGTAGCTATGATTGATTGCAATGACAGCTTAAAATGGTAGTTGACAACAAATTGGTAGGCACAATACAGCAGAAACAATATAAGATTGATTGCAATGACAGCTTGAATGGTAGTTGACAAAAATTGGTAGTCACAATACAGCATATGGCTAGCACATAAAAGAAGACAGCAATGAACACAATGATAAGGTTGTTTGATATTACATAAAAATTAGGAGATTGGGTACCACTAGGTACAGAGCAAATTTAAAGCTCAGTGTAGGAAACTAAATAGATGAAGTTAGGTACTTTTTGGTTTTGCTTTTAAATAAGGCAAAAGTTTTACAGTTTTTCAATTCACTAGGGAGTGAGTTCCATAGACTAGGTCCCTTAATTTGCATAGAGTGTTTACACAGATTAAGTTTGACCCTGGGGATATCAAAGAGATATTTATTTCTGGTGTGGTGATAATGGGTCCTATTACATCTGTCCAGGGAGAGTTTCAGAGCATGGTTTGCATTTAAGAACAGGGTTTTGTAAATGTAGTTGACACAAGAGAATGTGTGGAGGGAGTTAATATTTAGCAAGTTTAGAGATTTAAACAAGGGAGCTGAGTGTTGTCTGAAAGCAGAGTTAGTTATTATTCTGATAGCAGATTTTTGCTGTGTGATGATGGGCTTAAGGTGGTTTGCAGTGGTAGACCCCCATGCACAGATACCATAATTAAGATAGGGGTAGATTAGTGCATAATATAGTGAGAGGAGAGCAGAGTTAGGAACATAATATCTGATTTTGGAGAGTATACCAACTGTCTTAGAGACTTTCTTAGTTATGTGTTGAATGTGGGTGCTGAAGTTGAGTCTCTTGTCTAGGAATAGAATAGAATAGACTAGGAATAGACAGGTAGTTTTCCTCCGCGTCTATATTGGAGCCAGTAGAGGCGAGGGAAGATGAGCCAGTAGAGGCGAGGGAAGATGAGCCAAAAGAGGCGAGGGAAGATGAGCCAGAAGAGGCGAGGGAAGAGGAGCCAAAAGAGGCGAGGGAAGAGGAGCCAGTTTGAGTGTGGCGCCACAAGCTGGTCCTCTAGCCTAACCGGAAATCCAAGATGGCGTCTTTGTTGTGATTGCTCTCACCAGGGGAACTTGCTCGGTGCTCTTTTCCTGTAGCAATCCCCACACGACGAAGGCAGAGAGAGACTCTAGGGCTAAAGTTCAGCCACTAGGTACTGCTGGTGCGTCCACTGGAGAGTACAGGAGAGTGTGTGGCGGAGCTGTGGGCAGGAAAAAGGTGTGGCCAAAGAATAACCTTGCTGGTGGCTGTGTTGTAGCCAGAGGGTTGTGAGGGTGTGAAGGTTGTGGTTGTGGTGGAGGAGTGTTGAGGGGCAGGTGATGCAGGTGGTGGAGGGGTGCAGGGGCCGCTCAGCCCCTCAGGTGCATCCCACACCGTCAGCCTATCCCGTCTGAGGACACCTTTGAGGACCCGCTGCAGGTGAGGCGCCCCTTGTTTTATGTACCATTGATCACTGCTGGTGGTCTCCCTGGCCCTCTCTGGCCCTCTCTGGCCAACCCTGGCCCGCCCTGGCCGTCCCTGGCTCGCCTTGGCCCACCCTGGCCCTCCCTGGCTCTCCCTAGTCCGCCCTGGTCCTCCCTGGCCCTCCCTGGCCCTCCCTGGCCCTCCCTGGCCCTCCCTGGCCCGCCCTGGCCCGCCCTGGCCCGCCCTGGCCACGGGACATACAACACTATACACCACACATTCTCCAGCACTCGGGTTATATCTGAAAAAAAAAATCCATATTTGAGAGTATGATTGAGAGTGGAGGTGTGGCAGGTCAGTACATGTGGCTGAGGGCGGTGGGGATGGCCTCTTGCTTCTTAGGTAATCTTAGGTGTGTCTTAGGGCTCAGACAATAATGATGAGTTTAGAAGTGAAAACATAGTTACATTAAGCATGATAATTGTCTATAATTACAGAGAGTGCTGATGTTCTGATTGTACCCAGAGATGGTTTTTCTTCCAACTTTTCAATACTATATGTCATAGTTTTTACACATTATTACAATTTATTATTTTTCACCTAAAGTGTAAATTTCATTATTATGTAGGTCTTGGCTGTATTTAGTGGTATTTAATTTAGTGCAATTATATGCTCACAGTTGTGTTGCTATTTAGTGTGTAACCTAGCAACCAGCAGCTTGGTGAAAACAACTGATATGAAAGCTAACTGCTAAGAGTTTGCATGATTAGGTGTTTATGGTCACAGTATGATAGGCAGCACAGTCTTATGTTATGGAGCTATCAACAATGATAGACTAAATTAATATGAATGTGTGTTTCAGTAGTGCCTAATTTTCTTTGCTGTACTGAACACATTCTAGTTACATGTCCAGTCGTTCCACTATAACCTAACTTGCCTTAAAAAGAATGGCTATTTATTGGCATAGCCTAGTACAGTAGAATGGTTTTTGTGATTTATTATTTTATTTTTTTTATTTATTTATATACAAAGAGTTCTTACATTCTTGTACAGCCACTAGCATGCATAACATTTTGGGCAAGTCAAATATGTGCAAGGTGGATAGTCGACATGTACAAAGTGGCCGGGTATCGGGGTTAATGTGTGTCGTCACTACTACTACATCAAACTGCTCAAAGGTGAGAAGTTGTGAATGGAGTTGCTGGTAGATACACCAAAGAGGAGGAAGTGTGTGGCTGGTGGCCTGGGTAATGAGAGGGGGACTTTCACGTCCCTCCTGGTTCATCCTGGACTCGGGTAGGATGTGGAGTTGGACATGTCTGAAGCTGTGATTGCTGTTGAAGTACGTGAGATTGACGTAGATCAGGAGATAGAACAGAGTGAGCTTTCTGGTAGGGATTAGTCTGTGACTGACTCTGGGGAACATTCCGGGCAGTCGATGAATGTTATGCTTCGTGGTTCACCGGTAGTTTGTAGTGAAGAAGATGCTGATATGGATGCAGTTGTGAATTAGATCTTGGAGTATATTTATGGTGGGGTGCCATCAATAGCTCTTTATTCCTGCCCTGTTTCCTTCTTTGTTGGATGGAGGGGGTTTGAGGTTAGGGCAGGCTGACTGGATCCCAGGTGATCTTGGTTGCCACTTGATGGCAGTCAGAAATACAGGGGTACCTCGGTTTAAGGATTTAATCCATTCCTGAAGACAGCGTGTAACCCGAAAATTTGTAAACCGAAGCTAATTTCCCCATAAGAAATAATGGGAAATGAATTAATCCGTTCCTGACTACCCAAAAACTTCACTTCAAACTAAATTTTATACCTAATTCATCCAAATCTACACTACAAAAGTATGTTCAAGTTATTACTTACCCTTGCTGATGACTCCTATTGGCATATGGAAGATCGTGAGGAGGGGAAAGGAGAAGAGGTGTTACTGTTTGGAAGGGAGTGCACACACTGGTACGTTTTGCCTGCATACCACTAGGTCCTGGTTGTGGCTCACTGCTTGATTTTATCACTTTTCTCGCAAGGAAACGCTCCAATGAAGATTGTTTTTTCCCTTCTTTGCAACACTTGTCTGTAGTGAGGCATCAAATTGTCATTAAAAAGATCAGTGCAAAGGCTTACTACAGCTTTATCTGGGTGATTCTTTTCGGCAAAACTTTGCAGTCCTTCCCATACTACACATATTTTCTTAATTAATGAGGATGGAACATTCTCTACTGCCTCCTCTTCCTCCCTTGAAGATTTGTTGTACTGCCTAGCTAGTTCAACAACACGAGTACCATTTTCATGCTTCCGAATGATCTCTTTTTTTTTTTTTTTCCTCTATTGTCATCCTCACATGCGATTTCTTGCCTTGAACCTTACCACTGCCCTTCGTGGGACCCATGGCAAGATATATGATAACAACTTTTATGCTCAAATGGCCAAAAAATCTGACAAAAAACTATAAATCTTTGTGAAGAATTCAGGCGGGATAGTCACTGGGCACGAGGCACTGGTAAACTGAGGCGCGATCGCCGTGCCACCACGTGCTAGGTCGGCCCATACGCATATCAGTAAACAGGGACGCTCGTAACCCGATGTTCCACTATATCACATTTATGTTATTTAAATCATTGGAACTATAATTTTCCTTGTTAAGGGAGTGTACCAAAGTTTCTTCAGTATATTTTCTTCATTACATTTGATGTTTAATTTCGGCATGTAGTTATAGTTGGAGCTGGTTTCTTCTGAGAGTTCCCATATGACCTTGTCTGCTGCAACATTATAAAAAAATGTTCTCTGGTAGATGTTAACCTATTTCAATATGGCATTCAATGTGTTAACACAATCGGCCTAAACTATATTTGCCTCCACGTTTCAGCATTACAACTTTATAAACTTAGTTCACTGAATTTACATAAAATTTTAACCTCCATAGCTACTTATAGCCCCTAGCATGTTTGCCTGACTCTTGCATAAATGCTTAAATGGAAGCATCACATATACAGCAATTACTGTTTATTATATGGTAGCATCGCATGGAATTACTGTTTATTATAAAAAAAAATTATAAAAAATATTGGGTTTTACAGAATGATGTTATGATGGGTGATCGAGTGGTGGACATTAATGTTGCTACAGTGGAGGACTTGGAGACCCTGGTGGGTGTTGGCCGAGCCAAGGCCGAGGCCATTGTCACCACCCGCAATGTAAGTGTGTGACTGTATTATGTAAGTGGGACTGTGAAGACATACAATGTTTTTATTTTGGGGCCCAGATTCTGGCTTCTAGTCTTCAGTAGGATTATGACTTGCAAGGACCTGGTGCGAATAAAATTGGGGTTGAGCTTGTTAGGTAGCAAAAAAAAAAAAAAGAGAAGGCTTAATGGAAGAACCAGAAAGAGGCATTTCATTACTTTCACTGCTGATTTTTATTTATTACATTTATATTCCTTTGATATTTAGCCTTTATACATAAGCATGGTCACCATGAATAGTTTCATATAAAAACAAAAAAAAATTAATAACAAAATTTGTTTTATTTTCAAGATTTAAGTTTTCCTCCATAAATGCAGCATCACAAATCCTCAACAATATCCATTTTAATTATATAACTTACTCTATAAATACTTTCGAGTGATTTGTATTTAGTTAATCTGATTATTTTATGAATTCATAAAAAAAGGTACAACATGTACTAGTTGGCAACTTGCAATTATTTTAAGATTTTCTTCACTAAAAATTTAAATGAAATATTTACTCGACTGACTTCTTTCAAATCAATTTAAAAATGTAACCAACAATGTAGGCTTGTCAATACTGTATGTACAAGAAACAAAATGAAGAAAAAAATGATTCGGAAATGACCTGGCCCTTTACCAATGCACTTGTATCATTATGATGATGACTCCTGCGGTGGGAGCCGGTTGGCCGAGCGGACAGCACGCTGAACTTGTGATCCTGTGGTCCCGGGTTCGATCCCGGGCGCCGGTGAGAAACAATGGGCAGAGTTTCTTTCACCCTATGCACCTGTTACCTAGCATTAAAATAGGTACCTGCAGGGTTGAGGCCTGGTCGAGGACTGGGCCGCGGGGACACTAAAGCCCCGAAATCATCTCAAGATAACCTCAAGATAGGTGCTGCTGAAAAAATAAAAATAAAAATTTCCTCTTATAATGTTAAAATGCATTCTCTGATCATGAGAAAGTAAAAAAAAAAAGAATATTGTCTGACATACTTCATCTATAATAGAGCAGAAAAGTTGAGCAATTTATGGGTGCTGACTGAGTAGGCACTTGGAGACTGCTAATATAATTGCTGCTAATAAAATTTTCCATAAGTATTTCAATGTCTCATTTTTTTGTTTTTTGTTTTTCTTATGTAATATTCAAAAGTGTGTACAGTAATTTGAGAAATTTATGTAAGCAAATGTGTGGAACAATGCTCTGTTCAAATGTGGTGCTCATATATAATGACATTATTATATTCTGAAATCAGTCAGTGTTTTATGCCGTTATTACACTACACACGTTATATATAACTACAGTAGCTACATTTTTTGTGTACTGAATAAACCACAAAGATAGCGTGTTCTTTGTACACATAGTAATGTACAGTACACATAATAACGACCCAAGCTGAATCTATCGCCTGACAGCTGAGTGTGGCGGCGCCTACCCCAAATACTGTGCACTTTTACACAATTATTTAGTTGTTTGTGAATGGTTTTATATCTAGTTTTTTCAATATTATTCAATAATGTGTAATATGTGGAATTTATATAGTTAAAACTGTGGAACATTGATATGCTCAAAAATATGGTACTCAAATATAGTAAAACAAATTCTTCGACCAATCAAAAAAACACCTTGAGGTGTTATGTGCATCACCAGTCGAGCTCCTTAAGGCGCTATGCACAGTACAGTGGTTAAACTAGTTTAAATGTAATATCTTATTCTCTTAGCATATTAGTTTATCTATTTACTATAATTGTGGTTCCTTGTTCAAGATGGATTGGCTCGCTCATGTGCATTTTGACCTTTTTAGTGGATAGCTTAATCTTGGAATATGTAGTTTACTAACTGTACAGAATTTTTAATTCATATATTTTATTACATTTATGGCATAGTTTATGCAGCAATAACAAAAGTTATTCTTGATGGTTCCTCCAGTCAATGGTAGAGTTCAGAAGTGTGGATGACCTGCTCCTTGTCCCAGGGATTGGCCGAAGTCTTATAGAACAAAATCGCGGATTACTAGTATGTAGCATTCCGGGTGGAGCTCCAGTAACCAGACACTCTGCTCCACGACGCAGTCTGAGGCGTACATCTCACGACCATCGACAACGGGGAGAGTGTGTTAAGTCGGAAGAAAGTTCCCATGAGGTGCAGGGTGATAACACAAACTGTGCCTCTAGTCAAGCTGTGAAACCAACCCGGATAAACCTTAGGGACCTTAATCTATCTGCCACTTTAGATCAGTTTCGTGCTGCAGAGCACACCAGTGCTACACGTTGTGTTCAGTGTAAAAATGACTTACGACCTAAAGAGGAACTTAGAAAAGAATACGATGAAGAAAGGCGGGAAGGTGAAAATGATAAGAGAGAAGTTGCACTCAGTATCTCGGGAGACACTAGTGACTGTTGTGAATGTTGCCTTGAAGATGAAGAAGAAGAAGAGAAGGAAGAAGATGATGGAGAAGTTAGTGTAGATGTTGTACCAGTAATTCAGAACAATGATGGGGAGAGGAATGGTGATATTGTTGAGGACATAATGAACAGTGATGACCTTGTGAACACTGCACCTGAAGTGAAGGTCAGTACTAGTGATGTTTATCATAGTGGTGGTGGCAGAAGTGAACATAGCTGTAATGGGGGAATTGTGGGAGGTTTAGGGACAGACACACCACACGAAGATGCCCCTCCAGATTTACCTCTAGACATTCAGGTTCTGTCATCCCATCAATTGACGGATGGGGATGACTCATCTGAGGAGGAGGTCGATGGAGGTGGTGATGAGGAGGAAGAGGAAGATGATGAAGAAGAGGGACATATGGAGGAAGACAGTGTGGAATATGATAGTGACGACTGCATGACGGTAGATCCTCCCACGTCTCCATATACTGACAAAAAGCAGGTAAGTGATGTAGCTGAATACATTCCTGTATTAGTGTTTATATTGAACAATAATCTTATTCTTGGTCAGGTTAAATAACCAAACTTGCTTAACAAATATTGTCATGTTAAATTGTTATTAGCATCCTTATCATATTGGATTGTCATTAATAGCCTTGACACATTAGATGCCATTTCACACTTCACAATAGAAATATTAATATTAATTAATAATATATTAATATTAATATATACAGGTAATTAATTAATTACCTGTACGTGATGTTGGGTTATGCCCATCACCAGATAGTTGGCAACTACGTGTAAACAAAATTGTATTGACAAACAGTATCGTGTTTATTTAACAAGTCCTGTGAGTAAACGTTTCTGACGGGACCCCTGTTGGCTCCTTGAAGTTATCACACTGACTAAGTGCCATACTACTAGGTGTCATAAGTCGGGGTATTCTATTGGCCTACTGGGAACCATGAGCCAGAACCTGGTCCCCTCTAGAGAGGCACAGTGAGCGATGGCCTATGAACACTTTACATATAAAGTTTATCATCATTTCATCTTTGTCATCTCCAAGGAACAGTACCCAGAAAGATAGGCGATTTAAAAAATTACTACTGCATGGTTAAAAACGAGATTACAGCACAAAAATTGCAAAAATTTCCTCAACAACTTTTTAATTTAATTTATTTATTTATATTATTTACAAGAGTTTTTACAATCTTGTACAGCCAATAGAATGCGTAGCATTTCGGGAAAGTCCTTAATCCTATGTTACCCAGAATAAGACCTCACCAAATCGTTAACAACCAGGCACCCATTTTACTGTATGGTAAACAGAGGCTACAGTTAAGGATTGACGTCCAGTAAATCCTTCCCGCCCAGGATACGAACCCAGGACAAAGTGCTCGCGAAACGCCAGGCGAGTGTCTTAACCACTACACCACGGGGACTGCTGAAAGATAACAATGATAACAAACTACCAAAATTTTATGAAACCTAGCCTCCGCTAGTTTGCCCCAACTTTCCTGCTCACAAGTCGAGTCTGGCCCTGGGGCTGGGCTTAGGGAGTCGCTATGGCTCCAGTCTCCTGTTTTCAAATGGTGTTTTGCATTTGAAGCTGTTCTCTTACCTGTGTGTTGTGGGCGAGTCAGGAGTTTAGTGTACTGGAGCTGCATGTGCTCAGGGTTTGCTTCCCTGTGCGCTCTTTAAGTAATACATTTGCTCGGTCAGGGTTTTCTTCCCTGAGTCATTCAGGAAACATTCCCATAAATGGGGCTTCCTTGCTTGAGGTGGTCTTTGCCCTTTCAGGTAAGCCAGTGGTCTGTGATTGACTGTCCTTCCTCTGGTCAGGAGTGTTTTTTGGTTGGTGGGGCTCACTGTGGTCTGCATGGCCAGTTATTTTGTTAACACAAGGCATGCTGGCAAGGCACAAGGCAAAGCAAGGCATCTCCCAGGCTGCTTGTTCGCCACAAGTTTGTCTCGGGGGTGGCTTTGCTTCCTTGGTTTCATTGGTGTTTAGCCTGTTTCTTTGTGGGGGGTTCTGCCTTTCCCTTATTAGGCTTGCCTTGGGTGTATGCTGGTGAACCCCTTTGCTGCCTTTCAGCTTTTCCTTTAGCTTCAGGTAGCTTGGTTGCCTGCTTCAATGGTGTTTACTGGTGAAACAGACGTCAGTGCCAATGGCCTGCAGTGTAGGAACCCTGCGGGCCCCTGGAAAACCCCTGCGGGTTTGGTTGTACTGTGAATACCTCTTCTGAACCCACTCTCGCTTTGTGCAAATTTAAGGGTTATTCGTTGCCTGTGTTTACCTGTTTATCCCTTTAGAGAATTCTATTGTGAACAATTTGATAACAAAAGGAACGATATAGCACGAAAATTGAGGTGGGAAAAGTGAAATGAGTGCATCCGCACTAAACATTTTAGTGCAGTGCGCGCTCATGGGAAACACTTGGTTGACTTGACCTTGGGGTGTTCTGGGGGTTGCGCACCGGGCTGGGCAGTGTTAAAAGAGAACTTGACAAACATCTCCAAAGGATACCTGATCACCATTGGTCATGATTTACATCAGATTGTGATAAGTTGCACCTAATAGCCTGATCTACCAGACCACTAACCAGGAAGCCTGGTCAGAGACCTGGCCATGGGGACATTGATCCCCAGGAACCAGCACAAGGTAAACACAAGGTAAAGGTAAGCAGCTGTGCGTAGGTCTCCTCCAGCTGTCATACTACCAGTGACGATATGATCTTGGCCAGAAAAAAAGTTATGTTCTAAATTCCTTAGGCACTGAACTGTGGCATGGTTCCTCTGATAAAATGGGTATAATTGTGCTGTTCATGTCATCCCCTAAAACGTGTATATTACAGATCATTCAGGCAAAATCTGTTGCAATCTTTAGTATTATTAATTCATTTTATCCCTTTTCAGGATAGAATTCTGTTCTATCTCTGAATGCAATTAACCATTGGATGTACTTTCTGGTAATCTAAAAGAATCTAATTGACTCTTAATGATTTTCTTATGTATCATATTATGTGACATTGTGTACAATACTGTATGTTTATTCTTATATTTTTCATTACAGATTAAAAGAAAATCTGAAGTTTGCTCTGATTCTAAAGGAGTCTGTCCTGTGAAAAAATCTTGCAAGGCTGTGGAACACAGGTAAGGAAATTACACAAAATTCTGACATAGACGAGTCGTATTAAGGAAGTGGTCAGGGTGAATACTGTTTGGTAGTTTTTAACCAATATAGTGTCGAGATAGACAAAGGTATCTTCCCAGTGCCACTTTTTTGGTCGAATGCTATAAACAAACAGTTGTCCTCAAAGGGGAACCCCTTGTGGTTCCCTCAAGCTACTATCACTGATGGTGTTCCATTTACTAAGACACATCAGCTGCAGAGTTCTATAGGGCTACCATGGACCAGCGCCAGAACCTGGCCCACCTCACAGAGGCTTTGGGAGTGGTGACATGTATTTTCTGGGGGGAGCCCCGTCGGCTCCCCGGAGCTTTACCGGCTGATATGCTAATGTCAGACTTTGGCATCAGTCATGTGTATGGAGTTCTAGGGCCTACCGGGGACCACAGCCAGAACCTGGCCCCCTCAGAGAGGTAAGGGGAGCAATGTCCTATAGAAACCCCCGTGTGGTAGGAATCATTCTATGTCTGCCATCGACCGGGTCAAGCATCCAGAAAGGTAAGCATTCCAAAACAAACCCCTATTCTGGTGAAAATTGCTACCTAAAGCCGAACTAGTGGATAGAACTCTTCAACAGAAAACAAGGAAACTAGTATGACGTCATACGTCACCATGCCGCTGTCTGTGCAGCTCCCCCCCCCCCCTCCCCAGGAGGGGGAAGGGGGAGCCCCAGACCTCCCACGCCGGCTATCCACCCATCAGTTCTTCGGCTGATGCTATAGGCACCGGTTATGTGCTCCGGCTCCAGTGGTTGTTTCAGCACTGTACCTAGCGTGTGGTGTCTGTTTTCTAGGTGGTGCGTGAGCCGGGAGTGATTCTCCAGTACTCGGGCTGCATGCGCCTAGGGTTCCCTTCCCTAGGTGCCCTGTAAGTACTGCCCTTGGGGCTTGGGGCAGCCTTCCACAAGTTCCTTGGGTCCCGCCCCTGCTTGGCCGTTTACTACTTGGTTTTCGGCTGCTCTTTGTGTGCTCGGGTGTTCTGTCTCCCTTGTTCGCCTTAGAGTAAGGGGCAGTTTTTGCACTGGTGGGGCGCAGGGTACTGTGCAGCTTGTCTTTACCAATCATAGCGGCCGGCTCTGTTCCGCTTGGGTACGCTGTCCTCTTGCGGGGTTTTCTTTTTCTTTTTGTTTATCTACCTGGTGGGGGGTCTGCCTTCGTTCTTGCCCCTTGTGTCCCTTGTGTTCTGAGTATTTTCTGGTGGTACCCCCTGCTAGGTCCCTGTGAGTGTACACGTCCCGGGGGTTCAGCTCTTAGAAAGTTGTTTGGTAGCTTTGGGTGCCGGTTAGCAGTACCCTGCCTGGGATTACCTGAGCGCGAGTCCTCTTATAGTAAACGCTCGAGACCCTGGGAAACCCCTGGGGGCGTGCGGGTCCGATGGATGTGACCCCAGAGTCCCCCCTCGCTTCCAGCGAGTTTGAGGGTTGCTCTCACCCTTTGTCTCTGGGTGACTCTGTTTTGCCTCCGTCTGCTGCCTGTGGGGTCGGTGACACCTTCGACTCGGAGTCCTGCGAGTTTGGTTGCTCGTTGTGGCTCGGTTACCCAGTTGTGCTGACAAAGCGGGTGCGGGCAGCAGGGGCGTTGCACTTGAGCCTTGGTGGTGGTAACGTTCTCGTGGTTTCCTCCCCGGGAGCCCCAGGGCTGCCCCGTTGTAGTTCGTTTTGGGACTTGGGGGTGTTGGTTGCATCAGTTCCATCCACGCCCCCTTATCTTTCCTCTGGATCACACTTCCTGCCTACATCCGGTTCCTTACTGTCTGTAGGTTCGGGGCGGGGTTTTTGATGGTGTTGAGACTCGGGCAGTCTCGGGGAATTCCCCTTCCGGGGTAGTGACGGGGGCATTTGAGCCTGTTCCTCCAGCCGTGTTGTATGAGTCTGCCAGTGGGCTCCCTTCCTTAGTGTTTTTCACGACTGCCCCGGTTTTCTGGTACGGCCGGGGCTTTGGGGGAACGACTCGGCCCCGGGGCCTGTCGTGTAGGTTCCCGGGGCTGGGGAGGGGCTGACTTGGGGGGCCATGGCCCCGTTGGACCCCGTGGGGGTTTTTATCCCCCTCTAGGCGGGGCTTGTGGTTACACGGAGTGGGGTCTTTCCTCCCCACTCGCCGTACGTGCTGTTGGGCTCTGGCCCCTCCCCGGGCTCGATTCCTTGGCCTTTGAGTCGGTTGGTTTTGTCCTGTGGGTGGATGTTTCCTCCCACCCTTTTTTGGGACGGTGTTTTCGTCATGTTTCCCCGTTCGATGGGGTTCTACGTGACTTCTGATCTCGGGTGCGCCTGCGCCTTCGTGTGCATTCGGGACTAGTGTTGGCTTCTGTGTTCTCGAGGGTTTGGGAAGGTTTTTCGCTACTTCCCGCATTATTGGAACGTCTGTCAGCTCCTCATCCTTGTCGCCGTTTTGGGCTACTTGTGTAGCCCTGTTGGGCTACTTGTGTAGCCCTGTTGGGCTACTTGTCGCCCTGTTGGGCTACTTGTCGCCCTGTTGGGCTACTTGTCGCCCTGTTGGGCTACTTGTCGCCCTGTTGGGCTACTTGTCACCCTGTTGGGTTACTTGTCGCCCGGTTGGGTTCCTTTTTGGGCTCTTTGCTTCTTTGGCCAGTTTTATTGTTCCTGCTTCCTCTTTTGGCTACTTTTCTCGTGCAGTAGTCCTGGTTGGCGCCTTCCCGCAGAGAGGGTGTGCGGTTCGGCCAGCGTGTTATGCGCATGCGCCGTGGAGTTTGTTTTGGTCTGGGCGGTGTTTCAGTGCTGGTGTTTTGCGCCCTTTTTGCTACAGTGCTTCGCCTCTCGTTCTTCTCCCTGGCTGCGGTATGTGCCCCTTCGCTCCGGTGGTGTCCTGGTTCCCAGTTGTGGGGAGGACACCGCGGTTTTCCCTGTGTCATGGGTGTGGACCGCCTCCTTCGCCTCTCCCTGCTCTCCTGCGGGTCCGGCAGGGTCCGGCTCTGGCGTCTTCACCTGGCGGTGCTCCCAGGTTCTTCTGGGCACGGTTGAGTCGTGTCAAGTTCGTGCCACCGTTCGCCAGGTGAGTTTCTGCGGTCTGGCGTCTTTTGGCCGGGCGCTGGATGCGGAGTTGTTTATATACCTGTCTTTATTTAGGTATATTTTTGTACGGCTGAGACCGTTCGCACACCAGTGACTGTCCCTTTTTCAACCCTTCCTGTCCCCCTCATGTGCATGTCCAACCCATGCTGGAGTCATTCAGGGGACCCGGGGCCGGATTCAGGAAGGTACTTACGAAGGTTTTTCCTCTTAGCTAAGAACGTTTTCCCTCTTAACGCCTTCGTGGCGGCTACGTCCGTATTCAATTAGCTACCCTAAGTGGAAAAACCTTCGTAAGTTCATTCCGGGATTTAAGTGTGGTTTCGACCACTCGTAGCTTTACGTAAACTGGATATAAGTCATTTTTTCTCTACTACATAACACTGGGATCGATTTATGATATTGGAACATGACCAAAATATTATAGCTGGTGAATCTAGTGAAGAGGAGTCCTTCGTGTTAGTTATATATGCATTCTCTGCTTGAAACTTGAAGTAAATATGTGTTTGATGATAGTAGAATTAGTTTTATAATAGCAAGATATTATACCAGTAGTTATTAAGTAAATAAACACTGGTGAACATGAAATATGAGAGAAGGTGATGAGCCCTGCCTGATGGGATCATTTACTATCACCAAATGCCCCTGTTCACCTAGTAGTAAGGGTGTACCTTAGCTATACATACCCATTTCTAATTTATTTAGTTTGGTTTTATTTTGAAATTAAATCTGGGTGAGACATAAAATAAAAATATGCTGCACAAATGATGTTAGGTAAGGAGAAGGGTAAAAATGTCACAAACTTTATTCATTGAATACTTAAAGCTATAATTATGACTATATAGATTATTAAAAAAGAGAGAGGGAAGTAGGGGTCCAAGACCTCTTCCTGTTATACAATTTGGGTGTGGAACAAGTAATTATCAAAAGAAGGCACCATGCCGGGAAGGCTATGTAGCAGTAAGGCAGTGAGGTGAGGCAGCTACTTATTTGAGAAATGCTTATTTTATTTACCTTATAAGCTGAGGCAACTTATTTTATTTGAGGAATACTCAGCTGATTCCTCTACATTTAGCATGGAACAAATTTGTGTCCAAGACCTCTTCCTGTTACTCAATTTGGCTGTGTGTAACCAAACTAGAAGTGCTCTACAAATCAAGGGACCCAGAATGTGGAATGACCTCCCGAATCATGTCAAAGGCTGTACCTCTCTCAACCAGTTTAAGAGTTAAACCAAGTACTGCCTAATTAACTCCATGTAACCTAACTTACCTCCTAAATGTCAACCCATGTCTTGCTATTTTTTAAACAACGCTGTTCACCAACATGTGCAATTGCTGATTTATGCTATGTTAACCCCCCTTTTTGTATTTTTTATTCCTTCTTTCAACACAATTTATACCTAATCCCGATTACTATTAAGTTTTAGTCTGTGTTTTTTCCCCCACACCTTGCCCGAAATGCTATGAGTATTAGTGGCTTTAGGTATTGTATGTACTAGCTCTGTCTATAAATCCAACATTATGTTTGTAAATCAACTGTATGTACTTTTCCTGAATAAAATGTATTTATTATTTATTTTTTAATCAGTAAGTATTAAAAGAAGGCACCAAGCTGGGAAGGCTATGTAGCACCATTGTGTGTAACAATAAACCAAATTTTTTTTTAACAAATAATGCACCTGTATGGTAAAACAAATCCTGTCAGCTGTAAAAATATTGATGCAGTTATTTAAATGAAAAATATAATGAAAGAAATATTACTGGTTTATTTTTATCCTATCTTTTTGTACTGTACAGTATATCCAAGGAAGTGAAAAATTGAGACATAATGCACAATTTAATGAATGATTAGCATGGATTAGCAGTTCAAAAGAAATATGACTATTACATATCAACATGAGATCTTAATGATCCATGGTCAACATGATTTAATAAGGATAATACAGTACTGAATTTGTAATAATACAAACTATAATTTAAAATCTTTATTACTGATTTTTTTTATTAAGAAGATTAGGTATACACAGCAATGTACTACTACCCTATTCTATATGGAATATTACACAGTGTAGATAAAAAACTAGCTATAAGTTTATCTAATACTCCCATCTCACAGGATGGTTAGACATACTGTACATGGAATCAATTTAGAAAATACCAGCCTCAATACAAAAAACAAATCAACTCTGACTAAACAACTCTAAGCAATTTTCACAAGAGGTAAGCACTGAATCATGGAAACATTATATTATAATTACTCTTACCAGTTTCTACAAGACTCCTCTCAAACAATGTATTTTTAAACATGTTTAGGTATACACAGCAATGTGCTGCTTCCCTATTCTGTATAAAGGACCACACAGTGTAGATCAAAAACCAGCTACAAGCTCATCCAACATCCTCACCTCACAGGATGGCCAGTCATACATGGAATTAGGAGAGAACAAAATACTTAATGCTGATCTATTAGCCTCCACTGGCAAAATCTGGGTGCAGCACAAGAATATCTTCCAATATTCCTGAGTGTATGAAGTAATTACAGAGCTCAAAATACCTCATACCATTTGGTATGAAGTCACTGATAACAGGACAATCACAGATATAGTGTTGGAGAGTATGTTCTCTCAAGTAGGACTGAAAACAGATGTTTTTTTCCACCAAGAGGGCTATAAACCCATGGAACCGCCTACCCGCTGAAGCCGTAAATGCCAAATTCCAGCTAAAAAATATCATTAAGACAATTGGCGGGCCCTTTAACAAGCCGCCGGCTTTCTGTCCTCTTCGAGGTCACTAGATAGTTAGTGGCCCTTGGGTAAATTCAGTAAATATATACAATAATTGTCAGCGCATCTTCCGAGCAACAAGGACAGCTACACAGTATCTCTTAGAATTACGTAGGTAAACAACAAATGTAACATATTTGTTTACTACAATGTCGGTGCTGGCTGTAGAAGTTGAAAAAACATTGTTTTACTTCGAAATATACTAATTTTATAAGAAAATTCGACGTAAATAGGAGGCAGTAGAGCTCCGATAAACCAGCGCTAAATCTTCAATATGAAGAATGTTGCTGCTCTCTGATTGGCCAAACGAAACACAGTAGTGACCTCTATCGGCACGCAGGTGAACCAACAAATTTCTTCCTAAGTGGACCTTATTGAATCGCACCTAAGCATCTTCTTAGGGCGCACTTAGGAACCTTCGTAGCAAACCCACTTACGAAGAAATACACAGAGCTTCCTGAATCTAGGTCCTGGGTGTGTCGTGTTTTGTGTTCAGTGGCGGCCCTCCGCTGTTGTTTGCGTGCCACGCCGTTTGGGTCTGGAGCGCGTTTTGCGTTGATCAGGTTCTATTCTTCTCAGTTCGCGGGTGATGGTGTTCCGGGTGGTCAGCCGTGTTCTTGCAGCTAAGCTGCCTGTGTTCTTCCCTTATGCCTGTGGCGTTCGTGGCTTCGCTGCTCTCGCTGCCGTCTGGGCGACGTGGCCTTGCGGTCTTTCGGGCATGGATTTTTGGTGTTCGTGCAGGGGCCTTGCTGCTCGTTGTTCTCGTGTTGTTCCCGGGACTTTTCGGGGCTGTGGCGCCTTGGGTTGGCGTTTGCTGCCGGTTGTCTCGCCTCCGTTGGGGGTGCGTGGTGTCCGCCTCCCGGTACTGTCCCTTTGACCTTCCTCTGTGGGTAGTTAGCTCCGGGGAGCCGACGGGGCTCCCCCCAGAAAACCAGCGTTGAATGTAATGAAACGCCATTTTCTGGGTGAGACCCGGAGGCTCCCCCGCAACCCTCCCTCCCTCCGGTCGGCGGTTTTTTGCGTGTTTTGACATCCAGCCTCAGAACTGATGGGTGGATAGCCGGCGTGGGAAGTCTGGGGCTCCCCCTTCCCCTGTGCAGACAGCGGCGCGGTGACGTATGACGTCATACTAGTTTCCTTGTTTTCTGTTGAAGAGTTCTATCCACTAGTTCGGCTTTAGGTAGCAATTTTCACCAGAATAGGGGTTTGTTTTGGAATGCTTACCTTTCTGGATGCTTGACCCGGTCGATGGCAGACATAGAATACTTCCTACCACACGGGGGTTTCTATAGGTCATTGCTCCCCTTGCCTCTCTGAGGGGGCCAGGTTCTGGCCGTGGTCCCCGGTAGGCCCTAAAACTCCATACACATGACTGATGCCAAAGTCTGACATTAGCATATCAGCCGGTAAAGCTCCGGGAAGCCTCCGGGTCTCACCCAGAAAATGGTGTTTCATTACATTCAACGCTGGTTTTTTATTTATTTATTTAAGTCACTACCGGGAAAGTCACCCAGAAAGTAAGCGAGACAAAAATAAACTACAGTACTGCTGCCTTCACTCGAGATGCGGTTATAAGAAGTAACCCCAGCAAACAAACTGTCAAAATCAATTAAAACTAGTGCCACCTAGGTTTCTCCACTGCCCTCCTACTCATTTGGGGGAAGGGGTAGTCAGCTCATGGTCAGCTGGCTCCTGCACCCTTAGTTCTATGCTGATGTGTAGTGTGCTGGGTTCTCTCTCTTCTGCCTTGGCTCAGGTTGCCACTGATTCAGCGAAGTGGTGGTTTTTGCCCTTGTTGGCATTCCCCTAAACTGTGAAGTGTAGTGTGAGCCGTGTTCTTAAGAGTGCTTGGAGCTGCATGTGCACAGGTTCTCTTCCTGGTGTGTTCTCTACTACTGCCCTTGCACTGCCAGGGTTCCCTTCCTTGGAGTGTTTGAGAGTTGCTGCTTTAGTGGTCTTCCTCAATTGTAATGACCCTCTTGCAGGGCGAGTCAGATGTCTTGGGACCTTCCTGTCTTAACTTGGGTTGGGAGTGACATTGGCTGGCCTGAAATGCAGTTGGTATTCACATGCAACACTATAGCATGCCAAGGTCGGCCTTTACATCTGCGTGAAACTGGCTGTGTTGGCTAGCTATGTCATTTCTATTTCCATAATATTCTCATATAGATTTTTGCGACAACCTTCAACTAAAGGACCAGTGTGGCATCTCAATGCCTGGGTGTCCTGATTGGTAAATTCTTTCGGATCCTGGAAATCCTCTGCAGGTACAATGGTCGCATGAATATCCCCCTTTTACCCCTAACCTGCTCTCGCTTTGTTAGAGTTTGAAGGTTACATGTCGTCTGTGCCACGTAGGGACATTCATTCCTTCTGGTGCCTGTTTGGTCAGTGTTATCTTCAACCCTGAGTTATTTAGGGTCTGCTCTAATTTCTGAGCCTCCTAATGAGGTTAGGGCTTACTAGGCAATGACCACTTTGTATGTTAGGTTCTCTAGATTACAGCTGTCTAGGTTGTGTGCCTGGTTGGATGCCTCAGAGCTGCCCCCTGTTGGTGTTTAGGGACTCTGAATTAGAGGTGTTGGTGAACTCCACCTTGGCTCCATACTCATCTCCCATGCCTTTCCCTACAGGTGTGGTTCATCCTTCCTCTGGTCCTCCCCTCTGTTTCTGGCCCAAAGTGTCTAAGGATTTCTAGGCTGGGGCAGGCTTTAGCTTATGGTTAGAGGTTTATTTGGAAGTTAACCGAGAGAGATACTGTCATTGAGTTGCCTATAGAATCCAAGATTTTGCTTGAAAGGAGCATTCTTTATTTTATACTTCCTGTAATAGCAAGCTGGTTGCTTAGTAGTGGTTAGAGAAGTCTTAACAATTTTTCCTTCTTAAAATTATATGGCAGCACCATAGCAAAGATACCTGGAAAAGTGAGGGAGCAGGTAGACAGAGCCTGGTGTGATTTGTAGTCTGTGTGAAACGTATTCAGGACTTGATTTAGGGAGAAAATTGAGAGTGCTCGGAATATTCAGAATGTTACAATAATCTCAATGCTCTTATTTTAATACCTATCAATTTGTAGTTTTAAAATACTGAATATTACATCTGTTTAATTAAGCCCTGCATAACAATGGTATTTAATTGCAGTGGGGAAAGTAGTCGAAGAAAAGTTTGTGGTTTGGCAGCTCACAAAGTGTCTCCTCCTCCGGTGGGACTCAAATCTTGGTTGGCCAAATACCAGACATGGTCACCGGCGCAAAAACGTCATGCTCTGGACTCGTTAATTGATGTCTGTGATCTTAATGAAGTAAGTATTATTTCTCTGTTTAATTTCAGAACACCTTGAACAGCAGCTTTGCTATTATCCACTCATTTCAATGGCATTGTTCTCTGCCATCACCCACTCTTTACCTCTGTTTGTTAAATTGAGGTAAAATTTACTATTTTTACTCATAACCCTCAGATAATGGACTGAAAATAATGGTATGTAACAGATTATACAATGAGAATACAGTATAGTAAGGTATATGGGGAGCCGGTCGGCCGAGCGGACAGCACGCTGGACTTGTGGTCCTGTGGTCCTGGGTTCGATCCCAGGCGCCGGCGAGAAACAACGGGCAGAGTTTCTTTCACCCTATGCCCCTGTTACCTAGCAGTAAAATAGGTACCTGGGTGTTAGTCAGCTGTCACAGGCTGCTTTCTGGGGGTGAAGGCCTGGTCAAGGACCGGGCCGCGGGGACACTAAAAAGCCCCGAAATCATCTCAAGATAATCTCAAGAAAGGTAAGGTAAATATCAGGAAGACATGTAGAGGGATAGTCACTTAACCACAAGATTGAAGAGTGCAGCTGAGATGGTTTAGTAGGAGTGTTGAACAAATGGATGTTAGTTGCCTGGTAAGAGTGTATTCAAGGTAGGAGATAAAGAAGACTAGGAAGATGGGTGGATGTGGTGAATGTGTAATTTATTACCCAAGTGTAGTTACAGGACGAGAGCTATGCTCGTGGTGTCCCGTCTTCTCGGTACTCTGTCATATAATGCTTTGAAATTACTGATGGTTTTGGCCTCCACCACCACCTCACTTAATTTGTTCCAACCATCTACCACTGTTTCAAAAGTGATTTTTCTTATATTTCTTCTGCAGCTTTGTTTAGTTTGCTTGATTCTGTGACTTCTTTTTCCATGAAGTTCCAGGACTCTAGAATTCTTCCTTACCAATTTTGCTAAATCCTGTTACTGTTTTGTATGTAGTGATCATATTGCCTCTTTTTTTTATTCTATCTTCTAGCTTTGGCATGTTTAATGCCTCAAACCTCTCCTCATAGCTCTTGTCTTTCAGTTCTGACATTCATTTAGTTATGTCTTTGTACCTTTACCAATTAGTTGATATGCTTCTTAAGATAAGGGTACCATGAATAAATCCAAAAGGGCTGTGATGAGGGATCGAACCTACGCACTGGATGTTCCGAGAAGAGTCTTAGTCAACTGTATCACGACATGGTTAAAAGAATTGCAACCTGGAGTGCTACTGCCCTCAATAGGATCCCGAAGCTTCTCCTAAGCCCAATCAGGGTTTTACACAATTTCCCCATGCACCCGGGCGCTGTCAACCAAATTCTACCTCTACGCCCTTATTTCAATACACACAGAAATCACAATAGCGTGATATATCAAGTGAAGACATCCTCAAGGAACCCCGATTGGGCTTCGGAGAAGCTTAAAGATCGTAGTACCCTCATCACAGCCCTTGTGGATTTGTTCATTTGATATATCACGCTATTGTGATTTCTGTGTGTAGTGTAAGGTATAACCACTGCTTGTTCTAACTTCAGTCTCACAAAGGTCATGAACAATTTGTTTAGTATTTCACCATCCATGTATTTAAAAGCATTTCTGAAATTGGAAAGCATAGCATAGGCTCCTCACACATTGGTCTTTGTGTGTTCCTCAGGTGACAGTTTTTTTATCTAGAACCACCCCTATATCTCTCTCTCTGTGGAGAGCCCTTTCGGTTCCCTGGAGCTATATCAGGCAATATGTATACTGTATATTAGACCGTGGCAACAGTCAATCGACGGAGTTCAAGGCCTACTGGTCAGGCCCCAGGACCTGACCCCCCCCCCCCCCTCAGAGAGGCACGAGGATAAATGGCCTATAGACCTTCCCCCCCCCCCCATGAAGTTGGAAGCAGTCTATATCTGCCATCTACCAGGTCAGATACCCAGAAAGGTAGGAAACCCAAGACAAACTATTGCTGGGGAAAAATTGCTAACCGAAAGCCGAACAAGCAAGCAGAACTCCCCAATCAGAAAACAAGCAAACAAGCATGACGTCTCCACAGCCGCCGTGCCGCTGTCTGTGCAACTCCCCAGGGGTCCCAAGGAAGGGGGGGTCCCAGACCTCCCTCACCAGCTACACAGCCCCAGTTCAGTGGCGGTCGATCGAGTCTGGCTCCATACTTTTGTGCAATGCTATCCATAGCAGTCTTGTTTTGTGTGGTGGTGTGCGAGCCAGGAGTAACACTAAGAGTTCTGTGGCTGCATCCACCTAGTGCCACCTTCCCTAGGTGCCCTGTAAGTACTGCCCTTGCAGTTTAGGGTCATCTTCCGTAGGCTGTTCGGGAGTCTACCTCCATGTGGTTCTTTTGCTGCTCGGTGATTGCCCGCCCGTGGGGTCAATTGGGGTTGTTGTTACTCATGTTTGACCTTGGGTAGGAAGTACTGTAGTATTGTTGCTGGCTGGGGCGCAAGGTACCATGGAGCTGTCTGATTTACACTATGCTGTCGACATAGGACAGCTTGGCCCCATGTCCTGATGTGGAGGATCCCAGGGATGGAGAGGAGTTGACTTGGGGGGGGGGGGCTTGGGCCCCGTTTGACCCTGCTTTGGTGTTGGTACCCTTGGTGTGGGGCTTGTTGTTAGAGGGGGGGGGAAGGATTTTCCTATCCCCCTCCCTGTACGAGTTTGATATGGGTTTGGTTCTGGGTTCCCTTCGGTTCCTCAGTTCCCTCCTTCCAGAGGTTTTTGGCTTCTCGCATCCCACCGAGGGAGGTGCGGGAGGCCCTTGTATTCGCCTAGTTGTGGCTTACCTCCTGCGAGACCCGGATTTTGCTTCGATAATGGATCCTCTTTTTGAGTTTGGCTCCTCTTTTCCTTATTGGGTGCATTACAAGGTGCTGGGCGAGTCCCGGAGTCTTGGGGGGCCTGATGGCTGAGTGGATAGAGCTTGGGATTCATGGTCCTAAGCTTCCAGGTTCGATCTCCGGTGGAAGCGGAAACAAATGGGCAGAGTTTCTTTCACCTTGATGCCCCCTGTTCACCTAGCAGTAAATAGGTACCTGGGATTTAGACAGCTGTTATGGGCTGCTTCCTGGGAATGTGGAAAAAAAATTAGGCCTGGTCAAGGACTGGGCCGTGGGGACGCTAAGTCCCAAAATCATCTCGCGACAACCTCAAGATAACTTCCCTGGCAACCCTCCTGCCCTTTGGTCAGCAGTTTTCACATTTTTGACATTCAGGCTGTGAACTGGGAATGGATAACCATTGCAGGGGGTCTGGGGCTCCCCTTCCTCCTCCCGGGAAGTGGGGGGGGGGGAGCTGCACAGACAGCGGCACAGCAGCAATGGAGATGTCATGTTTGATTGCTTGTATTCAGTTTGGAGAATTCTGCTTGCTAGTTCAGCTTTCGGTCACAATTTTTAACCCACTGTAGTTTGTTCTGGGACGCCTACCTTTCTGGGTGACCAGGTTCTGGCTCGTGGTTCCCAGTAGGCTAAGAACTCCAATTGAATTGACTGATGCTACTGTCATATGATATTCATATCAGCCCGGTATTCCGGGGAGCCTATAAGACTCGTCTAGAAAATGGCATTTCATTAGATTCAACGCTGGTTTTTTGTACTTTTTAACAGGTTCGCCACCTTCACCAGATCATACTGCCCCAGTTCCAACGAGATTTTATCTCCTTATTACCAAAGGAATTAGCTCTCTATGTCCTTAGCTTCCTTCCTCCCAAGGATCTCTTACGAGCTGCTCAGACCTGCAAATACTGGAATATTCTTGCTGCTGATAATTTACTCTGGAGAGAAAAATGTCGCGAAGCTGGTATTGATGATCACATGATTGTAATGGATCGCAGACGGAGGAGAGGCACCAGCGTTAGCCACATGTCTCCATTTAAGGTTCGTTACTCTTTTATATATAATGTTTTTATTAAATATTATTTGATACAACATTGTAGCTTAAGGGTTTTTCACATTTTCCAGAGTGATAAGGATTAATCTAGGAAGAGAATATGGATTAAAATTGTTCATGTATAGTATTAGGTCTCTACCCCACAAAAATTAGGTTCGCCATTTTGTTATTATTATTGGCAAATACAGTATAAAAAATATTTGAAAATGGAAATTGTTTGATTTTCCAGTTATAAAATGTTTCATTTTAAACAGTCCAAAAATAAATGTTAGTTTCAAGAGTAATTGTGGCCAGGAAAATATGTCGATTACAACTGGTTAAGAGGATGTATGTATGGGGTTTAGAAATTCAAGGTTATATGGTTACAAATTACTGTAAACTTATTATATATACCTAATGGATTAATTGGAACAGAGTGTAG